CTGAATTCTATCAGTAGGTATGATATTTTTTGAATTGTGCTTCCAAGTGACGTGAGGAGGTGGTTCTCCCACAGAGTGACACTGCAATCTTACATCTTCCTTCCAAGCAACTTCCAGAGGACCTCCAAATGATGCAATTTGAGCTGATACTAAATAAAAAAAAATTTAGTCAATTAATACTGGATCAACAAATATTATAGTATAATTTGCTAAATTTAATTTTCTTCTGCTATATGTACATTTTAATTTTCAAGAAGAACTGTTGGTTTAAAGAAATACAGGTAATTACCTGACATACACCAGATATTGTATGATGCTTATAGGTTCACATGAAGAGGAATCATGCATGTGCAATATCTCTTATCTTTATTTGAAAATGTTTCAATAACCAGTGGTTTTTTCAGGAATATACAGAGATGATATATGAAAACAGTGGAAGATGAGGTTATCAGCCCCTTGGCCTTGAACTATATACAGCAGTGGAAAATGAGGCTATCAGTCCCTCAGGGTTGTAGAACTATACACAGAAGACAGTGAAAGGTGAGGTAATCAGTCCCTCAGCCTAAATCTATGATTATTATAATTACAGGTTTAGATCTTTCCCATGAATATAATTAAACTAGAGACAATACTAACCTTTAGTTGTTGGGTGAACATAAACTTTTTCAGTAGGTGGTCCCTCCCCTCGTTGTGTGGAGGCTGACACCCAGAACTCATATTTGTCTCTGGTGCTCACACCTTCAGCAACGTAAGAGGTCTCGCCTGGACCCAGGGTTCTCGATGGTAACTCTCTCTGCATAAAAAAATTTGTTAAATATGCTAAACAATTCTTTTAACCACAAATATGTTAAAAACTATATATGTATCACTATTCTCAATTTTTTTTTTTTCAACAAGTTGGCCGTCTCCCACCGAGGCAGGGTGACCCAAAAAAGAAAGAAAATCTCCAAAAAGAAAATGCTTTCATCATCATTCAACACTTTCACCACACTCACACATAATCACTGTTTTTGCAGAGGTGCTCAGAATACAACAGCTTAGAAGCATATACGTATAAAGATACACAACATATCCCTCCAAACTGCCAATATCCCAAACCCCTCCTCAATACTTGTATATTTATGTATCACTATTCTCAATACTTGTAATCATAATTCATAATTGTTTGTTCTATTTGTAATGCCTAAATTTGTTGTCTGTATACTTTTAATGTTCTCATATATATAAGCAAATAATAATTATTGTCATTGTAGTCTTAAGTAAGAAATGATCTGCATAACTGTGGACTTTCTGCATGTTCAACCAAATGTCACCCATCTCTGTACAGTGTTGCATGTGGAAAAAAATCTTTGACTTGACTAACATTAAGAAATAAATAATGGAGACTAAAGAATAAAGTCACAAAACCGGCATGTAGGAAAGTAACCTCATGACCAGGTTTGGGTCCTTCCTTCATGCACAAGACCCAGGGCACAACTATGCCAGTGAATCAAACTGAAACTGCACCATAGTCAAGTCACAACTGATGCAGTAAGAGTCCAGGATGGACTGAAATGTTGTTGTAAGTTCTCTCTTAAGTGAAGCTTTTGGGTGAATGGTGATAAAAGTAAAGGTTTTTCAGAGAATGTTGGTAAAAGTGAAGGTTTTTTATTGAATGGTGATAAAAGTGAAGGTTTTGGGTGAATGGTGACAAAAGAAGATACATAATTAGGAGGTTGCTTGATGTAAAAACATTATTGTAGCAATAAACATTCTGTAATTACAAAACCAAAAGTATCTTCTGAAAACTTAAAAATGTCAGTCTATTGTTTACATAAAGATTTCCTTTACTGTGTGTTAATTTACTTGTATGCAGTAGTCCTAGTTCTACCAGTAACTCACTATATGGAAATAAACACACATGCAGTATAATGTGATCCTTTATTAACAACGTTTCGCCCACACAGTGGACATTTTTCAAGTCACAAACAGATCTACATGGGGTGGAAGGTATGCAAGTATTTATAGTCAGGTTGAGAATGCTGAGGTCAGGTGGAGAATGCTGCATCTGATGATCTACCGAGTGGGGTTATAGAGTCTAAACTCTTGGGTAGCTTGGAAGAGAGATTGTATAAGTATATGAGTAGACCTTCTGCAGTGTTCCTCCATTCCTATGTTCTTATGTGGGATAGCGATGAAGAAGTTTCTTGGAAAGTGGTTCAGCTATGTTATAGAAGCCATTGTTCTGGTTGAGGTTGTTGGATATAGAGATAAGCGATGACTCCAGGATTCTTTGGTATTGAGTGTTGTTTTCTCTGGCAATAAGTCTCGAGTTTCTGTAGTTGATTAAATGGTTGTGTGAATTACGGTGTTGTACACAGGCATTCCTTGGATTGTCAGACCTGCTTGCGTATTGGTGTTCTGAAATACGTGTTTGGAGGTCTCTTGATGTTTCGCCCACGTATAATTTGCTGCAGTCATTACAAGGGATTATGTATACCCCTGCAGAGGATGGAAGCTTGTCCTGTCTATTACTGGTAATGTCCTTGATGGCCGTGGTTGTGGAGGTAGATACCTGGAATGAGGTATTGGAAAAGATGTTGGAAACGTGTTTGGCAATGAAGTTGGTGGGGAGGATTATGTATCTCTTCTCGGCAGTGTCTTCTCTGGGTGTGTTAAAGATGTTTGATGCCCGTCGTCTGCAGTCTCTGATGAAGTGACGAGGATAGTGAGGTTTGGAAAATACTTGTTCAATTATAGTGCATTCTTCTCAAGGAACTCATTGCTGCAGATTCTGAGTGCTCGCAGGAAAAAGCCTATAATTACACCACGTTTAGTTTTGGTGTCGTGGTGAGAGTAGAAGTGGAGAAGATCGTTTTGGTTGGTGGGTTTTTGACAGACTTTGAAACGAAGTTCATGGTCAGCTTTGCAGAGAAGAACATCAAGGAAAGGAAGAGTGTTGTCGACTTCTTCTTCAAGTGTGAAGTGGATTGAGGGCTCGACCTGGCTGAGCTTGTCTTGGAGAGCTTGAACATTGAAGCGTCTGGGAGTTAAGAGGAGAATGTCATCAACATAACGGAGCCAGGTGACAGACAAAGGAATAATGGTGGAAAAACGCTCAGCTTCCAGATGTTCCATGCACATGTGTATAGGTTCGCCAGGACGGCACTGAGTGGCGAACCCATGGGTAGTCCAAAAGTCTGGTGAAAGAGGTGATTTTCGAAAAGAAACACGTAAAACCAACACATAGTTCAACAAGGCTGATGAAATAGCTGGCTGGAATAGGAAGATCAAGTGAATGGTCAATTTTCATGCGCAAGAGATTGATGGCTTGTGTAGTAGGTACTTTGGTGAATAGGGAAGTTACGTCAAGGCTGGAAAGTTTCTTGTTCCTGATGTTGATGTTGCGAATGCGACTGAGAAGATCACCCAAGTGTTTGAGATGTGCTGGACTGATAGTGCCCAAGAGTTTAGAGAGGTGTTTTGCGAGAATTCCTGAGAGTTGGTGGGGAGCACTGCCTATTCCCGAAGATATGGGCCTCAATGGGATACCAGGCTTGTGAGTTTTAGGCAGGCCATACATTCTGGCAGGTCTGGGGTTGCTGGGTATGGTGTGCAGAAGTTTCTTCCCTTGTTCTGAGTCCCTCAGAATGCAGCAAGTTCTTTGAAGAAATGTTTTAGTAAGGTTGCCCACTTGGTTAGTTGCGAGAGGTTTGTAGGTATCTGGGTCATTAGTAGACTGAGCATTTTGTTCCTTTAATCATCAATGTTCACGATAACACTACCTCCTTGTCAGTGGCGGTGACCCTGATGGCCGTGTCTTTTGCTAAAGCTTTAAGTGCAATGATGTAACATCGAGGTATGACTGGGGAGCTGCGTGTTGAGATGGCCACTGAGATGATGCCTTGAAGATAGCCTTTTTGGAAGTCAGAGTCATTGTGTCTGTAGTTTTTGGCGATAAAATCGAGGTCTTGTTATGGTTTCGTAATTCCTGTTGCGAATTTGAAGCCTAAGCTGAGGGCTTGTTTCTGTGTTTGACAAATGAGATGAAAGATTCTGAATAATTTCAGGTCTTCCCAAACTTTTCCAATGACTACTATCGAAGAGAGTTTGTAGTTTCCTAGTAAGTCTGATCTTCTGTTGAATATTCGCTGTGGTAACTCTGCTGCGAATGATTTCAGCGATGCGTCTGTTCATGTTGCCCCAGAGTACTGTGCCTAGTGTTCTGGCTTGGAGAAAAACTTCCTTTGTAGCACTGTTTAAGTCATCTGCACACTCTTCAAGGTAGGTCCAATCTGTAGCGGAGAAAGGAGGTTTGATGTTGGCAATTTGAGGAGTAGATATTGGTAAGACCATTTCTCGGATGCAGTCCCGAAGAAAATTGTGTCTGTTGCGAAGTGAGTAAGCTTTTAGAAGGTCATGAACATTGATGATTACAGGAACAAAATGCTCAATCTACTTAATGACCCAGATACCTACAAACCTCTCACAACTAACCAAGTGGACAACCTTACTAAAACATTTCTTCAATGAACTTGCTGCATTCTGAGGGACTCAGAACAAGGGGAGAAACTTCTGCACACCAGACCCAACAACCCCAGACCTGCCAGAATGTACGGCCTGCCAAAAACTCACAAGCCTGGTATCCCATTGAGGCCCATATCTTCAGGAATAGGCAGTGCTCCCCACCAACTTTCAGGAATTCTCGCAAAACACCTCTTTAAACTCTTGGGCACTATAATAATAATAATAATAATAATAATAATAATAATAATAATAATAATTTTATTTCTTTGTAAAGGTTACAATGTGTAATTACAATTTTGATTTGCTAAGTACAAAGATAGCCACTATCATGCTGAGGCATTTCGGGCAAATTAATCCTAATACATAGTAACTAATTAAAACTAGATAAGATAACAGTACATAGTAATTATACTTAAAACTAAACATGGAATAGTGGTTAGCTGTTTCACAATCTTATATGAACTTAATAAATCTTAGGTAAACTTAGTACAAAATCTAATTTACAAGTAATTGTGCAGGTGGTAATATTTTATGGAATGGCAGAATTAAAAGCCAGGTGGTCACATGATAAAACTAGTCAGTAGATGTTTGGTTGATTTGGTTAATATTGTGAGATAAGATGATTTTTTAGCAAAGTCCTAAATTTATAAGCTGTCTGGGGATCCTTGACCTGTTCCAGTAGTGAGTTCCAGATCTTCGGGCCTTTATATGCATAGGGTTCTTGCACAGTGAGATTCTTACTTGAGGGATGTTGAAAAGTGCCTTATGCCTTGTATTGTAACTGTGCATTCTGTTGTAACTGTCGAGTAGTAGTTTTAGGGGATGGTTTACAGTGGAGTTTCAAGTTCTGTATATGTATTAGGCACAATAATAAGAGTGTATGTCTTGTATATTTAGCAAGATGAGTCTTTTGAAAAGTGGTGGGGTGTGCTGTCTAGCACAGGAGTTCGTTTTCACTTGCACAGCAGCTTTTTGTTGGATTACTATGGGTCTAAGGTGGTTGGCAGTGGTTGAGACCCAGGCACAGATACTATAGGTGAGGTAAGGATGTATTAGAGAGTGGTACAGGGTAAGGAGAGGCATTGGTGGTACATAGTAATGTATCTTGGAAAGCATTCCTACTAATATGGAAATTTTCTTGGCTATGTGATGGGTATGGGACTGAAATTTAAGATTACAGTCAAGGAGAAGACCTAAAAATTTGCCCTCTGTATGTCTTGATATAGGGAAACCATTTAACAGTATGCCGAGTTGAATATTTGAGGCTCTGTTGCCAAACAGCATGAA